TATAGCGCATGTATAAGGGTACCTTAACTATTAAATTGGCTTTATGCCGTTATTAAAAGACATGAACTATAAAAGAAGTGCTTAAATTCAATATGAAGAGTAAAACAGAAAATGTTGGACTGCAGCAGAGATCAATCTCTAGCTTAATCCAATGCCCTTTCAACATCACTCAGGCTGAAGCAAATATACTACATTATGCTATTTATTAAATAGTATTTAAAGCAATATATATGTATATTTACTTATGAATAATTGAATTATTATTTATATAAACATATAATATATTAATTTGTAATAATAATGCCAAACAATAGCATTTACTGTCATCTAATTATTTATTATTTATTTGCAGTCAAATTTAAGCACTTCCATACAAATTTCTGCCCAATAATAGAAATAAAATTTTCAATTGAAAGCAAATTATTTTATATATTCAAATAATATGAAACGATTTAATTTATTCATCTGGCTTTAAGCATATTTAATATCTATTTAGCTGCATATTCTATGGCCTAGCATAATTCACAATTTCCGCAGCTTAAAAACTAAAAGCTTATGAATATTTACTAATTGAATTAATAAATATAAATATGTATGCATGTATATATTTATAAATTCTTTAAAAAGCTGCATCATTTATCCCTATATATGTATATACATATATGCATTCGTTTATGTTATTTGGTTTGAGAATAAAATAAACATGTTCGCATGCTTAACGCATGTCAAAAGGTTAAACTGCCGTTTGGAATGCCATGAACTAGACCCCTTTAGGGAAAAACTGTGCGCTGGCATAAGCTAAATAATTCATAAATATAGTGGAATATGAAAAATAGATGTACATATATGAGGATTATTATAAATTGGGCTCCAATACACATAGCTCCGACATATTTATTATGCTCATTTTAATTGAGCTCATCTGTCTGTGTGTTTGTATTTGGGTTTTTGTCATAATTTATGCATGTATTAAGAGTTGCGCTCTAATTTGGCTTAAAACATTCAACTAATTTATGGCTGGCCAGCGAAATACATTGCTGCACAGAAAGTGTTAACAAAGAGGCATTTTGCCGCTTTGTTTATGGCCCGGGTCAGTGTGGTCATTAAAAATCAATTGGGCGTAGCCGCAGCGCTGCATTTGCGTTTGCGTTTGCGTTCGCTTTGAGCTTCCTGTGCTGGAAGGGCTCACATCCGTTAGCTGCATCTGATAGACTGCAGCTGTAACTGTATCTACGCATGCACAATCGAGCGAAAACTTTGACACAGTTGAAGCCTTTTGGCCGTCCGGCCTTGTCTCTGACAACAGCCCCGATGCGTTTTGCATTTAGATTCGTATCTTGGCTACTTACTGCCCGCATCATGGCCGCTTATGTGATTGCCAGTTAGTCCCAGGGCCGAGAATTCGGATGGCTGCAGCTTCACCTCCATCTCCTTCAGACGGCTGTTCAATTTGTTTGTGTGCATGAACAGAAAGAAGGTGCACGATATGGCCAGCAATGCAATCAGCTCCACAGACCTGCACAAAGAGAGAGAAAGAGAGAGAAAGAGAAACGAATTAATGATTGAAACATTGTTAGCCAAAAGGTTAGCCTAAAGCGTTCTATTTATAGAAACGTAAAGCTTTTGTAATTTACGCCAAATTGGTTTTTAGCAGCTATTATTTCATTTACACTTCGAATCGCCGTCACACACAGACCGGCGATGCTCACACAACTCCAACGCCAACTCCAGCTCCAGCTCCTCTCCAAGTGCGCGCTCTTGGCCTTTTGAATGACCCAACACTGGCCCCACTACCGCCCCCATGGCGAAAACTACAAAGTATGCGCTGTGACAACATTTAATTAAGTTCTGACAAGCCAAAACAAAGCAAAACAAAGCAAAACAAAACAGAAAGGCAAAACAAGGGGAGCACTGCAGCAAAAGAAAGCAACTATAATACAAGAAATTAACAAACAAAATGGAAGGAGACGGTGCGCAACAGCAGAGACGGCACTGTACAGTGGCTGCCAAAAAAATTGGTTATAAAGGCAGTCGACATAGGATTTCTAAGAATAGAATTCAACTGCTGTTGATAACGCTGAGATAAGAAAATCATATAAATATAAATAAAAAGAAAGAAAAGAATATAAATAAAATAACAAGAAAAATATTTGATATTCGCTAAGAAATCGCCTTAGGTTTACTGTATGAAACCTTATGTAAGACTTTCTGTATGATTAGCTATATAAATTGGCCGCACGTAGCTCTGAACTGGAGCCCAGAAATAACAAGAGATATTACGTTTTGTTAAGTTGTTTTGGCTTTCGTTTGCCTATTACGCATATTTGTCGAATCTCTATAAGGCATATTTAATATATCATGTAAAAGCTAACAGTCCATAAGTAAAACACGTGATTCATGTGGATCAACTGAGTATATAAGGAATGATGAATATATAAATAAAATGAAATATAATATATGTATGTGTATTAGATTAAATACGTGTGATATATGTAAGAGCTGATATATTACTCTACATGAGCTATATCAATTAATTGATCATAATTTTATATTATAATGTCTGTATAGACTTTTACAGAAAATTTACTTTATATATTTATAATAAAATATTTATATATTATAATAAATCTTATTTATATGCATAATATATATGATTATAATATATATATGTAGTGAAATAAATAAAGACATAATATTTTGAATACTATTCAATAATAATATGTTTTATATATATAATAATATATATTAATAATATATGTATATAATATATGCACATGTTTTACTAATTATTAAAACGCATCAAACTGAATTATTTTTATTTATAAAAATCCTCATTTAAATTTGACTATCTCTTGCTGAATACATCTATACATATTATTAATTTTTTGATATATGTATATTTTTTTTATATTCAAAGTACTTGAAGCAAAAAAAAAACTTTTCAGGCAATGAACCAAATGGTTGGCTGCGGCTCTTGCCATAGGGGCTAAGCTGGTCGCCGCAGACCGGAAGGAGCATCTAATTGGCCTCTATATTACTTCTATTTTTTTGTTTTACAATTTTTTCTTTATTTTGTATGCCGTCTGTATACTTTTTGAAACATTTTTCGCTGCTTATTTTGTTTTGCTATTTTATATATTCTCCATTCTGTTGGCTTGATAACAAAACAAAGCTAACAAAGCAACAGCAAAAATAAACCAAGTCGAAATTGCAATGCAAACTGTTTTCTTTGGGCAACTTTTTTAATGCAGCTGTCGAGGAATCACAAAAGAAAAAAAAAATTGAAAAAAAATTAAAAGCAAAATATTTTTTACTGTTTGCTTTTGTTGGCATAAATCTACCGGCAGATAGCAGCAGCAGCAGCAGCAGGAGCAGGAGCAGCAGCAGCAGGAGTAGGAACAGCAGCAACAGAAAATAAAATAAGCAAAGGTAAAGAAAAACGCTGGAACAACTAGTATCAAAATAATAATGACAATAAATGCGGCTATAGGAAAAAGGAAAATGAAAAAAAAAAGAAAAGATAGAAAGAAAAGAAAATGCTAGGCAGAGTTTTGTAAAGTTTTGTCTACCAACATTTGTTGTTGTTGTTATTGTTGTTGGGTCAGTTGCTGACTTAGTTTTCATCAGGTGCAAAAAGTAATTTATTTCAAATGACTGAGCCGAGGTTGAAAGTGGAGCCAGCACACAGCTTGGAGCCGCTTTGGTAAGTGGCAAGTGCATATAGCCGAAGCCGAACGCCTGCTTCAAATCAGAGACGCTAGAAGCGAAAGGCTGACTTTCATGTGGCCAGACGACAGTCGGACAGTCGGAAGGTCTGGCAGTCTGTCAGTCTGGCAGTCAAATGAAATGTATCTGACGGATACACCGTCACCGGCATGGCCAAGAGGCGTTTTTACTTTTTGGCCACCTGCTGTGCGCACTTAGCTTTAGTTCTGGTCGTGGGTGTTTATTTCATTAGCCGAGCATGCTACAGTTGATGCCAAAAGTTTGCGTACCAAAAAACATTTTACTTATGCATGCGACTGAGTGAATGTTTTGTTTGACGACAATGCACGACACCAATTCACTCCCTCTCTTTCACTATATCTCTCTCACTCTCTTAGTGCGCCAACTTATTGTTAAAGTTGACACTAAAGTGCGCCGCAAATCCCACTTAAGAGCTGCTTCTCAGATGTCAGCCACGCCTGCACGCCTCCCAAACGCCCGCAGCAACTTTAACTTGTTGTTTTGTTCAGCATTTTTGTTCTGTTCTCTTTTTCTTTCTCTCCCTCTCTCTCTCTCGTTTGTTCAGAAATTTATTGACATTTTGTTTCTGCTTCGCGCCCCCAAAGGGCCGCATGGCGTGTAAATGCCGAAAGTTATGTGATTATTAAAATAATTTTACGTGACTGCGTCGATTTCATTTTCGGACATCGCAGTCAACACATTGTGCCGACTCCAACAATTCGACTTTTCGGATTCTGTGTGGATTCCAGTTTCAGTTTGAGTTTCCAACTGCCAACTGCCAACTACCAGCGGGCCAACTGGCCAACTGGCCAACTGGTGACGGCCAACTGGTGACTGCAGTTCGTTTGCTGCCACGTACCACATGTGCCTGCCATTAGGGAGCTACACTTGGTTCGTTAGCGTTTTTTGTGTATGCCTGCGAGACGAGCTCTATTTCTGTTGCTATTTCTATTTCTATTCCTACTTCTCTCTCTATTTTATATATATGTGTTGGGGATCGTGGGAGTAGCGCATGGCGTTGTTAACTATACCGATGAGCGTGAGCACTGCGAAAAATTAAATGCACGACTCGAGGCGAATCGTAGGACAATAATTATGCGTTAATGTCAGACAAAATAAATAAATAATAAAAAATGTATAATAAATGTATATAAAAAATGTCTTCTTTAATATTCTATTGGCTGTAAGGTAGCCGATAAAAAAATACTGTAATACTGAAAATACTAAAAGAATAAGGAATAACAAAAAAATATATATTTTTATTGAATAATAATATGTATTTGTCGAAAAAATTAATTTTAAAAAATAATATTATATTTAAATAATATTAAAAGTTTTAGAAATTAATATTTGATTGAACTTGCATTAAAAATAAGCATTAAAAAATAAATTATATATATAAAACAAATTTTGAAAGTTAAAAGTTTTTAAAAATTATATTTAAAAAAATTAAAAAAAAAAACTCAATAATAAAAAATTGTAAAAATATAATGAAATATATTTAAAAAATTCTTCTATAGTTTTTTATTTATTAAAATTTATTTATTTTTTTTTTATTATTATTATTTTACATAACTCAAATAAAAGTGTAATTCTTTTTTATGAAGATTTGCCAATATACAAGTATTTGCTTATTATTTATTTATTTAAAAAAAAAATTATAATTATTTTAATCCTCCATATCGCCAACTTCTAATAAAATTAACTCAATTAGAAATATTTCCTATCTAATTATTATAACTGTAACTGAAACAGTTTCCTTAAGTGATCCGCAATCAATTTAAGTGAATCGAATGGCAAATTTATTTAGAAATCATGCCAAGAACCAGCTCGTGAGTCGATGGCTTGCAAATCAGTTCCCCTCAACCCTGCCCCTGCACCTGCCCCTCCCCCTGCACACAACACTGAAATGGCGCACGCCTTTCACTTCCAGTGTTGCCTAAGTGAACGAAAGAAATAATAGAAAAAATCGAGAAAAAGAAAAGAGCTAAGCGAATGGCAACAGCAACAGCAGCAACAGCAGCAGCAGCAACAGTTGCCGCATGCAAATTGCTCGCCATTTCCGTTCATTGTCGTTTATACGTAAGCACAACTGCATCATAAATAATTTAATTAAATGATGGTAAATTTTCCAACTAATCAAACTGTAAAGCTGCACAAACGGCAGTCAACAAATTGTGGCACGTTGTCCATTAGAAACGATACACACACACACACATACACACATACAGCTCAACTAGTTAGTTGCAGTTCATGTGTGCAGCCCGGCGCAACGATAATTCCCGTAAATTGACAAAAATTTATAAGTCATTTCTTGACTTGCGCATTCGCTCAAGCATTTTGCGCAATCTTTATTGACCCAAATGGCGATGCCACACACGCAGCGTGTGGCTTTAGTTTCAGCATCTGCTTAAGCCTCTGCTCAGGCTGCGGCATCGCCGCTGCACTTGCATCAGCTTCAGCTTCAGCTTTAATTTCAATCGCAGCATCAATAAATATTGACATTAGCCACGGCTTTAGTTTCTGTTTCGACTTTTGCTTTTGCTTTAGCCTTTGCTTTAGCATCTGTTTCATTTAGGTTTATATAAAGCTTGTGCATTGACAACAGTTTCTGGATTTAGCTTTAGCTTGTCATCAGTTTACGTTTTTAATGCAGCATCGTTTTAAGCTATAGCTAAGCTTCTGCTTAGACAACGGTTGTTGTTGGCTTTAGCTTGAGATTCAGTATTGGCATGAGTTTTAGCTTTAGCTTCTCCAGCTACTAAACTTTAGCTAAACTTCAGCTTTGAT